CGCGTGACTAATGAATACGCGTTCGACACGGTGCTTCAATAATCCATTTGACAACAGGAACGATGTCGTTTTTCACTCGCGTTCAAACTGCTCGTTTCCTCTGCTCTGCGCGTATACACACATAGCATGCGCACGCGTGCGCGTGTGTGTGTAGCTACGTTGGATGGCAAAGTAGGTCGGCAAACTTTAGGGGCGTATTTTATTCACCTCCAGGGTAGAAAAAAGCACCTGCGATCGCAGATACTAAAACATCTCCTTTTTCGAGTTACGGCCACCTTTTCGTAGCGACGAAATTTCGCTCGAACACCTAAACGCGTTTCGAGTTACAAGCGTTGCTGCGTGTTATTTTCCTTTTTTTTTAAAGGCTTCAGCGATAACGGCACTTGTTGCCGCCGAGAAAGTTAGGCGAACTGCTTTTTGTCCGTAGTATCTGCTATCAGCCTGCGTTTAAATGCTTCGGAGTTGGAATGGAATTTATCCGAATAATTATCTCGCTCGAATGTGAAGCCAGCATTTTGAAGTGATGAACTCCTTTTAATCTGAATTATAACTGTTCAATATTCGTGTTTCAGTCGACTTTTGAAGCAGTTACTTGCAATACTGACGAACTTCCCAATTATAACGACCATTCAAAGGGTTAAACATGATGGCTCAAAATTCATAAATAAAATTCTCAACTAACATTTAAATAATAAATAAACTTCGACAAATTCAACAGCTTATATTTAATATTTATTTGCAATTTGCTACAATGCCGATGATATGGAAAATATTTGGGAGAAGAATAAGGAACCTCATTTGTTTTACAGTAGTTTACCTTCGTTTCTGTCAAATGGTTTTTCCATGGTGACTGCGTGACAGAACGAGACGATGACGCTCCTTCTTCTCTACGCATCGCTCATTTTTCATAACCGCGTAATATCTGCCATCAACTTTTCCAAACTCGCGCGTGGTCTGCGACGTCTGGCCTCGGCCCTTCGTCGACATCGTCTTCTTACGATTTTTTATCAAACACACCCAGCAATTTATTTCGTTGATCGTTCTTTCGAGAGTTGCCCATAAAAGTCGTTACAACCAGCTTGTGGAATCGTTTCGTCCCAAACAAGCACGACTGAAATGGATGATTGTTACGGAACATCGGCGAAAGTGAGAAAAAATACCGGCTGCTTGTCCTCGTTGGCCAGCAAACTTTCATAACGGCCTTTGAGCTATGATCAGAGTCGATCAAACCAAAAGGAAACACATGCGGTGAACTCGTCTAGAGAACCTTGGTATTCAAACAACGCTCACGTAAGATAAAAACTGCTGTTCGGTAAATAAAGTTCTCAGAATCTATACTCATCCATCACACTTTTTGTTTCCTTTGTTCTGTTTCCAATTTTATTACATGTTAACTTATGTACCTCCAATTGGGCGATTAGTGCCCAATTTTAATCAAAAAAAGGAAAGAAAGAAATTACTTATGTACTTTCATGAGTTCACTTATTACAAAAAGGTGAAATAAATAAAATTTCAAAGTAAATCTGAAAAATATGTTTAAAATATCACTACTCTTCTTTGCTCTTGAATTTATGGAATTGATTAATGTGGCTTTTGAATCGTTCAAATATCAAAAATGCTTACGTACGATAACACTGTGCAGCATTTTAATGAGGATTCAGGACAAAAATCAAAATTCGCTGACCACGTTCGCACGGTCGCACGTTTACAGCCCAAGTTCCATAGTGCGGCGTTTGAATGAGGATTCCGGACAAAAAGCAAAAAATGCACACGTGTAATGCGCTGTGTTTTGCTGAAATTTGACATCAGTAAATCCGACGTGAATAAAAGTCTGTTTACCAAATATTTATTAGTATTTTCTCTATTCTTTGGCCCCGTTGAAATATCTTTAATATTAATTTCTTTGTCGAACCACACGCAGTGACACTTAAATAAATAGTATACCGATGCCGGAAACCATCTGTCCATTTTTCGCAAGTATCACGCAGAAATCATTTATCCCTTTCGTTTCGTCAGATATTGTGCTGACAATTTAGTAAAGAACAAAGCTTTTGCCTAACTTTCAAAATCTTCTTGGAATAAACGTGCTCAAAAATTCGCTTCATCAAATTATGATTACGAATGAATTTCATTGAAAAGATAAAGAATACCCAGTGTAGTAGCTTGTAGCAGGAAAAGGTATGTAGCAATATAATACAATAGCTTCTTGACGCATAACAATTAGAACTACAGGATGGTTTGAATCGTTTTTTCACATTGCTGTTTAAAGAAAAGGAGAAATTTTTGGATTGGCAATTAAAATCATACATATCTATGCTCAAATTGACAAACAAGAATGTATAATGAATGAGAAAGCTAATTTTCAAGTGATTCAATTTTGATGTATAAACGGTTTCTACTAATCTTCTATCGATCTTTGGGGGAATTATTGTTTACCTTTATATTACCTACTTATAGATTGATTATATAATTGAATAATCAAACTCGAACAATGATTATTTCGCTTTCGGTCTACTGGAATGGCAAAGAGATTTATATCACTCAGGTAAATCATTAATTTAAGGAAAATTAGTAGGACGTCGCCAACATTCAAAGCATTCATATGCCTTCATTTACTGTATTAATATATTAATATATTAACATATTTACTGTATTAATATTTTAGCTTTCTATCGTTTTTACTTTTTGTTATGAGTGGAATTAATCTTAGCTTTATTAGTAATCTATGTGGCTAATGCTTCATTCTAAAAACGTGTTCGAAGATAAAACCACGAATCATTGTGATTGACAAGGAGCAAGTATCTCCTTCGTTTCCCGTGTCCTTGTCCTCTCCCATTTTTCCCTTTTCTATTTCCTTTTCAACGCGCGAAGCCACATTTTGCGCGTCCCTTTTCCTCCGATATCAGTTTCTAGATCGAACGGTAGATTCTATTGGTATTTCATGGCGAATTTTGACGCGAGAAGTCTAGTAACGAGCAATCCCGGTCGTTGAGTCGTCTCGTTCGACAGATCGTGACAAGAATCAAAGGGCGCTATTGACTGAGAGATGCAACAGGAAACACGGGGACCGTTCACCGGGCGAAACGACGAGCTACTTCATAAATATTTCAACCGGTGCCTCTTCCTCGTATTATCAATTCCGTGTCATTTCCGCTGATTTAATGAAATACGTAGCGGAATATGAATATGACGTATTCACGAGTTTCAACAAGTTAAATACCGTTCAAAAAGTTTTTAATTCCACGAGTTTGACGAAATCCACGCGCTTCGCGTTCCAATTCGGGAATCCCATCGAGAAAAAAGAACTCTCACTTCAACGTTTTCGATTTTTAATTCTATCGCTTTGGTTCTTTTCTTCTTTTCTCGCGCGAGCAATTTAGCTTGCGTGCAAAACACACGTAAGTGAATACATTGCTAAGGGTACGTTATAAAGGTAGCATAGCGGGTACAGCACAAAGCCTGTTGAATGAGTTTTTAGAACGTTTGGAGGACAGAATGACAACAAAGTGTGCCAAAGTGCATTAGACGAGCAAAGAACCTAATTATTCCATTTAGATTTATTCGGTCACGGATTTGAAACGCTTAGTTCCTGACTATACGACGAGATAAATGTAATTAACTATCGCAATACGACGTCAGAATCAAACATAATCGGAATTGATCTACATTTCAGAAAATGTCGCACTTGAAATACGAAACAACATGGCAATAAAGGTTGACGCGTGTAATGTAACGTCAAAAAGAGCCAACAAGAGCACGAGAACAAAAGATCGCGTTCCTTCGACGAAACGCGGTTACTCGTCTCGTTGCGCTGTTCGCGTACTGACGGTTTTTCCTGAGAACGTCGGAAAAGTCGGCCGAACCGCAGCCACGTTTTCATTATCCGACACGCGACGTAGCCGCGGCACTTCTTCCAGGAAATGAAAATCGCTGCTTAGCTCGCGTTCCCGTGAAACTCTGCTGTAAAAGCAGACGCAACCATGGGCTAAAGAGCAGAGCGAGAATTATTTGAGCAGGATAAAAGAGAATGAGTCACCGAACTCGAATCAAGAGAAATGGAACACGGAATAGGATAAATTAACCGGTTCGAAAATCCCATCGACCGTCGTGTCGCGTTTCGTGTTTCCTTTACGGTATTCGATAAGCTTCGCAGTAGAAGGAGGAGGAGGAAAGCAAGAGAAGATGCAACAAATGCCTCTGTGTTTCGCATTCGATAAAACTGTCGTCGAAAATGAAAAAAAGGGAAGCGTAAGTACTTCGTTATTTGCATCCTGTTATTGCGCATTCCGGCAGATTTACTCGACGGCGGAACCATCTCGCGACTTCTTAGCTAGAAATTAGGACTCTTTGCCTATCCTACGCCGTTCCTTGAAACTATTTAAATATGTATATTACAACGAAAGACGGGAGATAACTACGGAACTTTTGCGTTTCTTTCGCAAGGAAAGTCTAAGATGTCTTCTCGTGCTTTTCTTTTGTCGCATAGCTTTTACACAAATGTTTGTCAATGTCGACATTTATTTCCTATAAATTGATCGTTAAAAACGGAGAACCGACGTATTCTTTTGTTTAGCGCAGAAAAAATATGGAACGAATGTAACGAATGTAGCGGAAACGGTAACGAATGACCGTTCCATTGGGAAAAGCCTATGAAGTACAACCAGTTCTAGTAGAGGTAACGAGAGACCGATGGGGAAAAAGGTGAGGATCGTTCCACTTTCTCCCATTTACGGGTAACGCGAACGCGCCTCTGTGTGATCACGGTTGTTCCCCATTTGGCTGGTAATGGGCGTAGAAAAACCATTTTTTGTTTGTAAGAGTGCCAGCAATTTCAGTACTTTAGAAGATCGACAAAAGCAACGCATAACAACCGCTTTCTTTGTGTTCGCGTCTTCGCGCGAAGGACGAACAAGAGGAAAAGAAAGGAAAAATTAAAAAGAATAAAAAAAGAAGGATCCTCCTCGGACAGTACTTTCTCGATGGTACGCGTGCTACGTTACCTGCTTTGAAGTCTGTAGAGATTCATCAAACAGGAAACAGGCGAATCATCGCGCCGAACAAAGCAACCGACCGTCTGCCGCCGAACATTATTATCCCAAGATCGAGGACGGTCGACGAAAGCTGAACGTCATTCACTTTTCACTTGAGCTTCTCGTGAAAGAGCCAGGTAAAGAGCAAAGAAAAAAAGATGAGTGAAAAAAAAATAGTAAAATTCGGACAACAGGTATTATACTCGACGAGAGGTCGATGCACCGGCGATCCCATTCAGCCGCGAATTAATCCAGGCTTTCGATTCACGGCTGATCGTTCACGGACGAACGCGTCTTTTTCACACGAGAGGGCAATGTGAATACTCAATGAAATGAAAATTCGACAAAAATATGGTGCACCAGAGTTTCCAAGTGCACCTAATCCAGGTTACAGCGCGTGTTCCCTCGAAGCTTCAGTAGTAATGTAGAATCTGCAACATCCTTTGAAAATTCTCCGTTGCGATTACTAGACGATCCATAGAGAACGTTCCGTGAAAACGAGAACTTGTTCACGAGCTTGGGTTAAGTCAACTAGTTACACTGGTCACGTAAACAGATGCTGTTGAGGTTGGATGTAAATGCTTTCTATACGAACGAGATCGTGGTGTGTAATTAAAAGTCTTGTGGTGGTAAGAAATTAACATCGACGAAAATGCAGCACCGCGTAATCCGAGAAATTTCTCGAAAGTTAGACTAGAGCTTTTCGAGATCGGGAAAATTAATTACATCGTAATTTGTCTGGTTTGATACAATGGCGCAGCTCCGCATTTATTTCATTTTCTCCTTTTTGTTTCCTTAACAAAAGACGTTCTAGATGATTTGTAACCGGTATCGCGAATTTATCGTAAATTTATCGCGTCTGAACAAGGAAACGTTTTCGAGGTGCAAATTTTCCTCGCGCAAAATGGCATTCGTGAGAATCAGAGAAGACAAGAATCGGAAGTCCCGTGGTGTAACGTCGGTGGTGAAGCTGATAAGCGGTCGGCACACTTTAATAATAGAAAGTCGCGAAGAGTCAAAGCTGCTATAGAGGTTATAAAATTCCGCAGAAGTAAGGAAGACTTATGCAACGTTCAATTTGTATAATGTATTCAAAATACAGTCGTGCGAAAGTATGCGGTCTCGGATTTGCAATTATAATTTTTCGGATTAAGCTATGCTACACTTTCGGTCACACGAGACGCCTAAGCTTTCCAAGCTTCGTCGAAGAAACGTGGAACGTGCACAGAGACCGGGTGCAAAATATAATCCGGCGCGAGAGAAAAGTGTACACGAAACTTTAATAAAAAGTACACACGGATCTCGTTCTCGTGCGAAAGATATTTACATCAGCTTATCCACGGAAAACACGTAGGGGCGAACCAAGACGTCACATTTGAACCAAAAAACCAAGGGAACAATTTTTTCCCTCAAGGAACATACGTGAAAATAGATGGCTCACTTTTCGATTTTTCCTTCACTCACAAAATACTATGTTGATGAATATTTTCATTCTCGTTACATTTCTCCGTTAGTTATGTCGCGTTTCGTTGGTAACAACATTTGATTTCACACTGTAACCAACGCATTCATTTCTCAGAACACTAGATCAGGATCAGTCGACGGCCGCAAGCACTGGATCACAGATCACAATCCTGGAGACTCGAGAATTTGACGAGAACGCGGGTTGTATGATCGAACTTGTGCAGACAAATAGGACGCACGTTCACAGTCCAAAGTAGCGAACGAAACAAATGGAAAGGAAAAAAATCAAACGGTGGGGTAGAGGAGAAGAGTACAGTATGGACGTGGGTGCGATACGGTAACAAGTGGAAAAACTCAACGGCTAGATCCGACGGTCGTTGTGGCGCGCGGCGAGCCACTGACTGCCTCCACCAATTCCACGCCTTTCCCTGTCCTCCCACCCTCCAAGCGCCGCCACCTACGCCGATCACCCTTGCACACCCTCTTCGCGCTGTCCTCGACAACCCCAGGCGCAAACGCCACGACGATCCCTCCGTTCCTCCGTCCTTCTCAATCCCACCAACCTGTCTTCTCTTTCTTTCTCTTGTTTCTTTCTTATCTGTGCCTGCATTCTTTCTTTCTGTCTCATAATACTTCCCATGTTATTTCATTCTTTGCATCATTGTTTACTAAATTTTTCGCTACTATTACGTATTTCTCGTCGGTCCTAGTTTGTCTCGTCTTTCTTCCTTTTCTCGATTTATTTCTCTTGTCCCTTTCGTCAAACACATTTTCTTTTCTTTCTTTCGGAATAGATAATTAGAAAGTTAGCTCTTGTTTGCTCGATTCTTTGTTAATCTTTATATATCTTACTGCACTATTTTTCTTGCCGCTTTTCTGTTTCCTCCATTTTGGTATTCGAATACTACAAAAATTTGACTTCTTTTATTAACATTCATCGTTATTAGATATTTTTTATTGTATCAAAATTTTCTATATTTTTTTTTCATTCCAGCAACTATTCGACTCCTCTGTTAACGATCTCTTCTCCTAACCTCGTTGATTTCTTACACTTCTCATCATTGCTCTACACGATTCCAACGGTATATTGCTCTGTTCAGATCTCTCTTTCAACCTATTCGACTCTTATTTTCCAATCCCTCTCTGTTCTCGTTATTCGTTCCCTAGTTGTATCTGCGACAGTGGAACTGACGTTCTGATACAAACCTCTCGGTCCAATCGAGCATGTAATTGATAGGTTTGCTTGGTCGACGTCACGCTACCTTCCAATTACTTAATTAAGAAACCAAGCATTAAATTTTGAATTGCAAATATTTCCGTTATCCAGATAGAAAAAGGTAGAAACATAAAACAGAAGAGACAAGGAGAAAAGGAAATAGAACAACGGACGTGAAATGCTGGTAAATTAAAAAATAGCGTCGTCTGGTGAAATTCCTCTGACTCCGCAGCTTTTTCTGGCTGGTACCGTTTGTTCCACTTGTTCGTTACTTTCGACAAGCGGAGCCCTGGGATTACCAGCGATCCAAATCGTTTTTGGGAAATCGTTTTTAAAATCAATTGGACTTGCGCTCCTACCTTTCCCTATCTGCTAACTGATTCTACTCAATTTCCATCTCCGCGAACATATTTTCCCACTTTTTCTATAACAAATCAATTATACAAAAACATTATTGAGTTTTATGTCGTATTAAGTTGACCGAAAGTTCTATTCCCAGATTTATTCCGCATATTTATCAATCTATCCAGGAGTTCGTATGAATTGTAAGTGGTTGAAAATCTATATTCAATTTATAATTGCCAATTTTTTGTTTGTATTAATTCTTTTTATTAAATGAAACACGATAAATAATTGCAATCAGAATTTGCGCAAAATTTTCACAGAACCTGTTGATTGAAGGAACAAATATCGACAATCGTTATGGTAATTTTCTATTTCTATCGGAGTCGGAGCGACGAGCTTTCTAGGCCGTTCCGCAATGAACGCGACGAGTTTTCAATGTTCCTTACTACGGCCGCTATTTTCATTTTTATTGACTCTCCCGTCGCATTACATTTAAATCGATGGCGTGTTCTGCGTCAGCTTTTTACAATTGTTCCGCGTTGCCTTCGATACTGTCGATGAACGGTATATTGGAATACAACGAAACGACTTGGTATTAAATGCCAACGAAAAGTTCCCTAATTTTACTCTGTGTAATCATTACACGGTAGAATGCCGGAAATGACTGCAATCCCTTTGTGCCACGAGGAAGATAAAAATAAAAGAAAGTAATAATGATACAGGAGCTAAGGTAAGGTTAAGGTAACCTTAAAGTTAAGTTGCTGTTGTGTTCCAGATTGTCGTTACATTCCTTTTCTGCAAGTGCGAACAGGATAGAACTTTGTATTAAAATAATGTAATCTGGTCCTGAAAATACGGAACGAGGTTGCAGTATAATAGAATACTAATGGTAATGATATAATAAGTATACTTAAATGCATAAGTATAAGTAATAACATAATGTGTAAGTATATATAAAGAAAATTTGTAACCATTTGTGCCATATCATAATATGGATTACAATTCTCTATCAAATACTGTACATATGAAATACTACAATAAATAATATTCATCTTTTCTTAGTTTCTATTTAATTCATTTTAAATAAAAAATTCACTTGTATCGCTTTCTCACATTGAAACCCTTATATCTAATCGAATGAGCTAATTCATGTGCTAATTCTAGGTGCTATTCCTGGAAGGCAGGAATCAAAGTTCCAGACTTTTCCTTAGAAATATAATTCCTGAAATTTATCATCAGAAATGATATAAAAGAATTTCTACGTGCAATGAAGCCAACTAACACATGTTTGGACCAATCGAATCGATGTGAATTATCCGCTATAAATACGGCGACGAGAATTATTCTCTAAAGCTTCTCGATGCGTTTAAACATCGAACAAACTGTACCACATTTAAACAGCGTATTCGAAGCGCGTTAAGTCGTATTTAAGTCTGCCTCCCGAGCGGAAAACGCCAGCCACCGCGCCGGATTTATATCATATTAGCCGTGTAGAATTATTTCATGTGTTGCCGAGCAATACGGTAATCCTACAACGAATCGCAGTCCAATTGCCGCGCGGTCGAAATTTCAGCTTTTCCTTCGAGTAGCTTGCTCTTGTTCTGTCACGCGCAACCCTCGTCCCCGCCCTTTTTCGCTATTTTGCCTTCGTGCCGCTTTAAACGTACCTCTCGGCTGACACAGAAGTTCTCTATTTTGTGTCTCTTCTTTTTCTTCCGTTTTCCTTCCAAACAATACTCTGAACGATTGTCCAGGCCAAAGAGCACAGCGTGCATTTTCGTGTGTACTCGTTGCTATTCTAGTAGGTTTGGAACAGCAACTCTGATAGCATATGTTCAATATTTGATTTCCTTTTGGTTTTTCATTCGTGGTATAGGTACGCGTGGAAATAATTAAATATACATGTTATTTTATGTTTCGCACGAAACAGAAGCTATTTCTATGCAACATGCTTCTGTTATGAAGAAAAAGTTAATTGAAACATCAATCTGTGAGAAAAAATACACAGTTTCGTACGTAGAGAAGAATCACTATCGTGTCTCGTAAAAAAGCAATTACCAATTCCGGAAAACTACGTTTCGAAACTCGTTCTCGAAAAAAAAAATGCAATTCGAGTTTATTGAACTCCGCCAATAATCATCATCGCGAAATTTGGGTGACCTCGTTTTCATGATGTTTCTACTGCTATACGCTCGAATCGTTCAACGTTCGTACTTATTCTTCTGACGATGACTTACACAAACGTATACAATGGAAGAAAATTATGTCATAATTATTCAAGATCAAATTTTCTCTTTTATGAAACCCACTGTATTCCAGTCATCGTGGGCGTAAAAAATGTCAAAGAAAAATGAATATCAAATATGAAAATAAAGTGGAAATTTTTAATAACTCACCTTAAACATTTCTATGTGAATTTAAATTTAGTACTGCATATAACTTCTTTCCATTCTGAAAATATATGCATACGCATGTACCCGAGTACATCCATATCTAGTATTCGTCGAGATTTGGCGCTGTAAATCAAGAGACAATCGAAAGGAAAATCAGATCAGACTTCCCGCGGGCTGCGGAAGGAGGGAAAAGCTGAAATGTCGACAGAAACGAAGTGCCAACGACAGCGAACAAAACGCCCTCTGTTTTCGCCCGTCAATACATTTTCTACTCGTTCTCTAGTTTAGTTCGCACTGCGACTCTCCGCAACTCTCGGTGTAAATTACGTTTCCGCGACCTATTGGTGTTTTCGCCACGAATGGAAGCGCGTCGACCAAAGGTTTCCAAACGTAGACGCGCGAAGGGTAATAAAATAAATTGCAGCACTTAGCGGGAGGCTCTGGGGGGCAGCTAATGCTCTTCCCCTGCCGTCCTAACATCCCCCTCCTTGTCGACCAAGTTACCACTCTACTCTTGCCAGCATCCCTGTCGACTAAACTACCTCGATTAGCGATGCTTAATACATCCCACTAGCAACTTTATGGGCTCGAAACAGCCGGCTACCTTAACTGCCCGATTACTACTTCATGGCCTGGCTTGACTCTCTTTAACTTTTAACCTGAACCCGACCTCTTGCAACTTCGAATGCAGGCCAGATCCATATGAGTTCCTTCATGCTCGCAAGACAAGGCTCAGATCGAATATTGGAAATTTTGAAGTTGACTAGATCAAAGGATGAACGTTACAGCCTTGTCGAAATAAGACTCCAATATTAAGTTTCGATATTTGAGTATCGAAAATTCGGCGAATCGAGTCAAGAAACTCGGCTCTGGGTTTGGCTTTGAATTTACTTGTGAACCTCGATGCTCTCCTAGCGACTCGAGTTGGATAAATAACGCGATGCATTCGAGTCTCGAATCTCGATAGAAAAATGTTTGGGTTTTGCCGATTTGGCGGAGACCACCAGATTATTCGTAGATGCGGCATGGGATAAAAATATCAATACTCATTTGCATTAATTTCCAACGAAACGCAGCCAAGGTGAAGGCGCGGTCAACTTTTTTCATTATCGTTCGAGGTTTTCTTCGATTTTAAGAGGCGTTCCTCGTGGAGCGACGAATTAAATAGTTGAATTGGTATCGATTCCCTTCTATCCGTTTTGACTAAGCTACCTTAATCAGCGATACTTAATATGTTCTCCAGAGAACTCAAGCTCCGACTAACTTTTCGATTATTTCTTCGTCGGGATCCCCACCCTTAGCTTATTAGGTCTATTAAATTTCCAAGAAGCGTTTGTACGTAACCAATTTACATCATTGACTAACTTATTATGCGAATATCTTAATGAAACACGAATAACGTATTAATCGACGAGGAAAGAAGTTATAGGAGCAATGTTTAATTTATAGTGTGAAAACACTTTGACTTTTTTATAATTTTTATATTTAATAGAGTTCGCTATGTATAAAGTTATAATGTAATTTTTTATAACATTATAACTCAATTTGTCTTGCCAATCTTTCTGAATGCGGACACCAAGTTATATTATAAAACTGTGAATAACGTTTAACGTGATAAGTATCATTCCATTTTGTCACTACTTACTTACTAATACCTCTAATCTTGTGATCTTTACTTATCAGAAAGACATTCGTATTTAATTAAATTAATGCGCATGTATATTTTGATGTATGTAGATATAAATGTACTTACATATGCGTATACAAATGTATTTGTGTGACACAAGAGTGCACCCATTGTTCACATGTATAAATACCTCCTGTTCACGGCGAACGTCGAATAGTTACTATTATACATCAATTGACGTAAGGAGTTTCATTACGGTCATAGACATAAAGCTGCAATGATCGGTATGAGCAAAATATTCTAGTAAAAAGCCAAGAATGGATAGTGGATCGCAAATGACAGAAACGGAGAAAATATCAAGCATGGGATTCGTAGAGCTTTACGACTTTTATTGGAATCAGAATGCTGGTGAGTACCGAAAACTCAGCATTTCCAAGACAAATTCGTACAAGGAATACTCATAATCCTGCTTGTTAATTTTTAGATCCAAGGACAAATGGTTTACCATTTATCGGATCGCCTGTTATTATACCTTCCATCGTATCGTTGTACTTATACTTTGTTCTCAAATATGGTCCCGAATTCATGAAAGATAGAAAACCCTACGACTTGAAAACCTTCATGAAATACTACAATGTCTTTCAAATTATCGCTAACACGTATGTGGTGCAGCAATTCATCACTGTAGGCTGGTTCACTGAAATAACCATGTACTGTGAAATACCAGATTTTTCGTATAAACCTGGACCTCTCAAGGTGCGTTAATCATCACAATTATTACGAACCAATTAATATGTACAATTTTGTTTATCAATCTTAATCTATTTATCAAAGAACTTTATTCATTAATAATTTTGTTATTATAGTTAACTTACATAATGTGGTTAGTAACAATGTTGAAATTGATCCATTTCGTGGAAACGTTCGTCTTCGTTCTTAGAAAGAAGAAGGAACAAGTCTCATTTTTGCATCTATACCATCATGTAACTACGATCTTATTATGTTGGCTTACGACAAAATATGTGCCGGTGGCGATGTCTTCGTTCACTCCACTCGTAAACTGTGGCGTACACGTGATCATGTATACCTATTACTTCCTTAGCACGTTTGGTTCAAAGTTTCGGAGAGTATTAGCCACGTATAAACCAGTATTGACCATCGTGCAAATGGTAAGTGCAAATTAAATTTTAAGTTTAATCATAACTTATTTAGTCAATTTGAATATACTATTTTTCTCGTTACATCAGGCACAACTTATAATTTTACTGATACAAAATGTGCAATCGCTTCTTCCGTCTTGTCCTGTAACAAAATTACCAGGCACTATCTCGGCGACCAATTTAATCATAAATTTCATTCTTTTCTACAACTTCTATCAAAGAAAATATACGAAATCTGCTTCAAAGGAACATTGAAATATGAAATCATGTTGAAATCATGAAAAATTGTGTATTTGATATAATATGTTTTTATTATGATCGTGAATGCACCTTTAATCACAAAATTACAAAATATACCCTAATCAATGAAAGAAGATGCTTTTAACGAAAACTACCGATATAAATATTACTTCAATGAATAATTTAATCGTTTCGATTGAACTGACTGTAATTTAATTTACCAATTATGACGATATTTATATAAAAATGATATTTGTAGATACATATTAATAAAACATAAGAGAAACTACATCGTAGCGTTCAATGAACTGAAATATTACAAGGTTAGTATAAATATATGCGTATCAGAATTCAAACGAACGTAGTAAACCATATTATTCAAATGATATGTGCAATCGGCGATTAGCATACTCAAAAGTTTCAAAATGGTAACAATGGAATGAAATTACAGATGCACCAACACTAACGTAAATTATCATCGTATGCATCATAGTCTCCACAATGTAGAAAGGTTATGGAACCGACCAAGAGTCAAAGTTCACTTGCTTAACAATGAGATATTTAAACAGACGAATCGATAGATATTTATCTATGCAAATAAGCAAACATTGCATAATTCATCTCCTTTGTATTTTTGAATCTTGTACTGTCCTTTGTCTTTTTGTTTCATTTTTTTTTTGTTTTTTCTAACACATTGATATGTGTCAATTCGCGGATTGACAAAATAGTTGATAAAGTTAGAACACGAAAAATTGGTTAAGGCTCTACGAAGTATAAGTATTAAGTTAGTCACTGCATCAATCAGTGTCACTACTTGATTAATTAAGGACCTTATTATATCGTGATGGCTACCTCATTTCTCATTTAATCATTTATGCACGGAAGCTGTCAGCCTAGGATTGCGAATAAATAACGAGAAGTTTAATGCTTAAGAGAAATGATAGCGTTTAACGCGACCTTTTATGAATTTTGCTGATTTTATAATGTTTAATTGCCATTATTCAAGTTGTAAAGAGCTACCGATTCGTAGATACGTACAAGAAGTTTTAAACTTACGTGCGTAATTTGAAAAATGTTCATGAGAAGAAAGCTGAGAAGTCGCTTACCTGAAACATAAAGAAAACAAGTTATAAATATATTAAAAATATGTTAAAAATATTAAAAAAGAAACGACGGAAAGAGATACGCAAGTATATAAAGTGTGTATATAAATAGCTGATATAGACAAATTGATATCGATGCAACTACTCGAATTTATGGTTTCCAATATGAATTTATACTATATCATGAAAAGTAAAAATCTAGATGAATTCACTCTTTGACGTCATAAGAATGTCAACAAATGGGGATTTCTCTGACCAAATTATTTAGCCAATCTCTTTTTTTCTCTCTATTTCTAACTGCCATCAAAAGACTAATTATAGTTACCGAAAAATATCACTTTTCAATGTGTAACTTCAGGAGATTAGGAGGTTTCTTCACGTGTCGTTGAAAGGTTGGTTTTCAAAGAGCAAGCCGTGGGGACAAAATTTCGACATATGAATCAACGAAGATTTTATTCATCTTTACAAACACGGCCTAAATATGAAGACAACGTAGAATACAGAAATGGAAACGATAGAGAGAATATTATTTTGCCATATACCGAATGATTGCGTGAAATTCAATTTGAGCTCGTGAGAACACAATAGTAGTTATTCGACATATGAGAGTATTCACACTTTAATTTAGTTGCTCATAGACAGGAAAACTCTAAGTTCTAATTAGGACACATAGAACCCGAGAGTTTCTGTCCTCATTTTCAATAGCGATTGGCACGTCACCACGAGAATGCTAAGCCCCGAACAGGGATTATGGGATTGTGAACTAGTTGCCGAACTTAAGAGCGCGTACTATGGCTCTGCATCGCAAACTTGCATGCACCATGCAACAGACTTACACAAGAACGCATACGAAATTCGATAGCTCAACTATTTCTTTTCAAACCAGCGTACAATTCTTCTTTTGTTAAGAGTTTGAAAATTATCGACTTAGAGAGGGAAAGAACAATGGTTGTTCAAGCTAGAACTTTCAATTCAAACTTTTCATTTAATGCAAAGTACTCCAATTAACCAAACCATTTAAGTCGCTAACAAACACTTCTTCCTAAGACTTGACATTAGCTAATGGTCGTTATTCCAGTTTGAAAGGAATTAACGTTTCTAAATACCTCGATCTAAACCTAACATTCTTCCTCTTGCGTTGCTTCCGGGCACCGACGTCTTAAATTGATCGATATAATTATCAAAAGGAAAATGTATCTGGCACGCAAGCATTTCTCGCTTCACGTGCCATTAAACCAGAGGAATCCTAATTCCAGTCTCACTCATGGAAAAGTAACTCGGTGGTACGCGTTCTCGATCCAACAGGATGATAAAAGTCGAATCGAGAACGAAGATTCTACTTTATGATATGTGTGAATCGTTATGACATTGAGGTACGAGATACACTTATCACACATCATTTTCTGTCTCGTAGATTAATTCGCAAAATGGTTTGATATTTCAGATTATTTTTTATGTCAACGATCTTTTACCACTTTTCTCAATAAGGTAATTAACTAAAGAATTCGCTAATTGCAAGCTGCGAAATGTCTGTGTCCATGAGATAAAGACTGTTGATTTGTCTGCGTTCAGTAGCCAAAAACGATCTTAATTACTGGAATTTAGATTGGACTTCTTTAGATCAATTCATTGATCATAATTTGAAAATAATGTTAAAAAACACTGAATTATCAAATTTATGAAGGTTATGAGTTTTAGGTTTTAGTACCTTGTTTTTACAATTACTAAAAATGCATCAATACTTTTGGGGAAATGAATATCTACGTTTTTCGAGAATAAAACATTATTGTATTTCTTTATTCATTTTCATTATATTTTAATTGTGGATAATCACTCGTATGTAGTAAATTTAGCTACCACTAGTCAGTAGTTTTAGCGTTAAACAGGTACATCTAAAAGATATAGAGATTGCGTTAGAGCGAAATATCCTGGGATTTTTTGTTGAAAAGAAACCAGCCAAATTTGCGGTTCAAACATCCTTCTTATGATTGCGTGAAAGTTTTTTTCTATTTCCCTCCTAAAGAATTCCTTAGACGTTCTCCATTTCCTTTTCCAATTTTGGGGATTAAGAACATTTGTAATCCTTTAGTTTCTTACAAAAAAAAAAAAAAAAGAAAGAAGAAGAATCAGAATGGAAAGAAAAATGATTGGACGGTTGCATTTATCGGTAAAAAAACAATCAAACGACAATTAAACAGTTTCTACGGAATATAAAAACCTTCTACAATTATTCTAACAAACATGTTTCGCCTGTTTTTGGTTTCGAGCGTGCTTTGAAAGTCCATTATCCAACACTATTCATTTCGTGATCAGTGCCTCGACCTCGCGACGATTCGTTCAAAGAAATAAAATCGGCCCACTTCTCACGATGACAAAATCTCATATTTTTTCGCCGAAAAATGCTACCAGTAACTAGTTCACGCTGGCGCGCGCGTTGAAAACGTAATAAGTAAACTTTCATCAGCTTTTCCTCCTGTATTTCCATTACTTTTAGAAATTTGAATACTTCTATTTAATGATTCAGAAATACCATTTCAAAATAATTCATAATCCTTCAATACTCTAATAACGCTGCAAAACATTCCTTTATATTTGAGCTTAGAAAAATATTCACGAGAAGTACCAAAAATAAATTATTCGGAAATTATTCCCACCCCCTATTATAACTTTATCTTCCAAAAACTTTTTGATGACAGTGGAACAATCGACAACGACTAAATCGAGGGGTGAAACTTTTTCAATAACACGTGTATGCATGAAAATGTGTTTGGATTGAATTGAAACACCTCTCTCGGTCATGCATTTCCGTGACACGGTCGAGGATGCACGGTTTATCTGTTCGAATAGTTTACGCGATGCTAGAAATTGGAACAGAAACGAGTAATCTCGGTGTAGTCGTGGGGAGAATGCAAATATCAATTTTGCAAGGGGCCAGTGGAAAATGCAGTACAGAATGGTAAAAGACAGAGAGTAGAGTAAAGAGGAGTGATAGGAGGAGGCAGAACGATACAATTGAGACATCGACATAAGCGTTTTAAACAAGTATGCCCGCATCGCTTTTGTTCCACGCGAGCTGTTGTATCGTCACTTTACACTGCGCCTGCCGCGACCATTGTTCCTCCTATGAAACACCGGCTGACATACTTGCGCCGACGCGACGGTTCTCTTCTGAACAATGTAAAATAGCAAACTAATGTGTATGTACGATCCCCGTTAAAGGAAACACGTTCTTCCTTCCCGTGTTGTTCAATTCGTTTTCGTTAACCAGGAACCACCATTCTACTCGTATTCGATTTTGCGATATTTAGGTAAATAGATATTTCCAAAAGAGTAAAAAGATTGAAAGATGAAATTTGATAACAGCTTAGACATTTTAGCAAAAGTATTTCTGAAAATCCGATGTCCAACCCCTATTCTGTATCAGATTTACATATTTCTGAGAGAGATTTCAATTTTTCTACTATTGCAGATCTTGAATTGTAACACAATTCAAGTAATTGTGTACAAGTCGATTTAAAGATTTAATCGGTTCTTAATAATCCGGATAAAATAATAATTTTGTATCGCCTTTAAACGTTATCTTTTCGATATTTCTACTATCGTAAACTGTGAATGTCAACATAAAATATTAAAATTCCTTGTGGTTCAGATATAACGACAATTGGTCACCATGTGTCGTACGTATAGAAACAACTATTGTCCACGGTAAATGGGAAAGTATCGATGGAAGCGTGGCACGATAGTGAGCACGGTAAGTTAGGATGCTCGTCGTGGAGAACTAGAGGCACAAACAACACAATCGTTTAAGAAACAAAGAACGAGAAAGTTCCCACCGG